TGTTGAAAAGATAACTACACTTCCATGTTAATGGCAACACTATTCACAAGAGCCAAGACATGAAGTCACCCTGTGTCCATCAATAGATGAATAGATAAATAAATATGGTATACATACACAATACCATTCAGCCATAAAAAAGAATGAAATTTTGTCATTTTGAGACAAGATGATTGAACCTGGAGAACATTATGTTAAGTGAAATAAACCAGTCACAGAAAGACAAATACGGTATGATATCAGCATCTGTGGAATCTGAAAAACATGTCTCATAGGTCAGAGTAAAATGGTGGCTATCAAAGACTCAAGTGGTTAGGGAAGAGAGGGGAATGGGAAGATATTGGTCAGAAGATATATAATTGCAGTTAGATAAGAGGGAAAAGTCCAGAATAGGCAAATATAGAGACACAAAAAGCTGACAGGTGGTTAACTGGGTCAAGGAGGAGAGAGGGAGAGGATAGGGGGAGAGAAATTGGGAATGGCTGCTAATAGTTTCTTGGATGATGAAAATGCTGTAAAACTGATTGCAGCTATGGTTGTATAATTCTGTGAACATACTAAAAGCTATCAGATTGCATACTCTAAATAGGTGAATGATATAATATGTGAATTATGTCTCTAATTTAGGTTATGGTGATGTGGTAGATAGGGAGCAAAATAATGCTATTAATAGATGTTTAGAGAATAATATCAACAAGTAAAATGAACAGTTGAGCTGAAGCATAATGCTTATGTAGACATTCAGTCTGGTTGATTAGATAATTATAAAGACAGCAAATCTTCCATCATTTACAAATTCACTCATTCACTCAGCAATCCTTTCATTCATTCATGAAGTAAGAAATCAAATGTGGATAACTTGAACTTCTTCACAGTGTTTTTCCATAACACATTTTCAGTGAGTTCTCCAATGGAAATGTAGCTACAGATTAAACTCTGAGATTTAAAAAAATTAAAGTATCAAAAAATAAAATACATTAAATGTTATTAATTCAAACAAAATGCTGGATGGCAACAGATGGTTTGTGATCTTCATTTACACTGGTGATATGCACATGCAACAAGAATTCTGTATCAAAGGGACTCAGTAGCAAACAAAGCCATCAGGAAAAAGTATGTTTACTCTTTCTGAAGACATCAGTTTTCATAACTTTTACTCTGAAATTAAGGCAAATTAAGTAGGCTTAATGATAGCAATATAGTTTATAGATCATGTAGATGTGCTTTTTGCTAAGAAACAAATGGAAATTATTTTTTAACCATATGCCACTGTCACTTAAAATGGTAGAGAGATTCTTCTATGGGCAATAGCACTAATTATTGGAAAATGAAGTTTTTAAATTGTTCATGGTATTGTTAATAACAACATAAATAGTGCTAGCAAAACTCTCAGTTCAATCTGATACAAGAAATGTAGCTACATTATTTTCTACTGAAAGTATTTCTCTAAGGAGTAGAAACTTAGTCTGAGTCACTTCAGGGTCATTTCAACCCCCTTTACCCAGGTATTGTATTGAGGTGCTGGTTTGCTTATGTGAAATCAAGGCTGTGCAGGTGCAGAGGCCAAGGCAGGCCTAAGGACTTCTTTTCTTGACAGTTCTCTCTCAGGCTGATGTCTACTGAGATCTCACTCTACCTGGGCCACTGTCTGCAGGCTATGCATTTGACATCTCTGGTATAGATATACTCATTCATCGACACAGAATGTAGTCCTAAGCATAAATGATCCACAGTTCTAAAGCCAGGTAAACAAGACAATAAACACAGATAACTTATGGCAAATCAATCAACTCAAAGCTGTACCTTGCTGGTACTAGGGCAAGACGATATGCAGCAAACTAATAACTAAAGTCGAAGTCATATGCAGCAATGACCTTTTTTAGTATTTCTTTAAACCTAAGGGAAATATAATGGACAAATTAAAAACAAAATCAATAGAAAGCAAACCAGAGTAAAGCAAAGAGGGAAAAGAAAAATAATGGAGGAAGACTGGGAGAAGTTATGAATGTTTATGTAAGAGGCTCAATTATATTTGCATTCAGGTGTTTCCAATTGTAGTTTGAGACCAAGGGGCAGGGGTGTTTTCTAGTCATTTACGTTTCCTTTCAAATTTAGTTTTCTGCAGTATAAGCATAAAAGTTTGCCCCATGGAGATCCAGGTAGTCATGTTTCCCTGGCCTCATTTTTTTGCATGCCTTACCTCATATCTTCATATCACAATATGAAGATTGCTAAAAGACAGAAGCCTAAATCATTTCTATCTAATAGTGAGAATAAATGGTCTACAAAGGTAGAGGCTCTCCAGGCACAGTACTTAGAGGTTACAGTTCTGCAGTTTTGCTGAACTGAAAAAGCACTTTTTGTTTTGTTTTGTTTTGTTTTCAAAGTTGTTCAGCATTCATATTTTATTTGTAAGCAAGCATGAACAAAACACTTTCTGATAAACACAAAAGCTGCTCTGCCTCATTATATTGCATGACAAGTGAGATCTTACAGTTTCACATCAAATCAGTGGAAAAACAATTATCTGTAAAAAAAAAAAAAAAAAGTATGTGCAAACACTTTTCTTACAAAGCTGAAGATTCAAGGCAACGTGTCTGGAATTTGTTTCTCCCTGTAGGCTGCCTCCATTCAATGAAACATCTGTCTCAATTTCCGCTCTTCCCGGAGCCTCTTTTTGGTCTCTCTGCAAATCCATTCCTTCTGAATCTGCCTCACTCTGACCCCGCAGATGGAAACCGTATGTCTTTCTGTTTAAGGAAATGTGACCAACCTTCTCAGCTGGAGATTTCTGGCAAACCTTTAGCATATCATCATGCATGGCTCCTATTGTACCAAATGTAGTATAACCTGCTTTTGGTTCTATGTCATGCTTTAAATGATTTAGAGTAAACAGTAGGCACATTCATTGATTTTTCTTAGAAAAGTCTCTAAAGTTAAGCATAGAACTCTAAGTTAGGTAGATTTAGGACAAGTACATTAAAAAAAATTATATTTCAATATGTGCTACAGCCTAGAATTACACATGTAAAAGACACAACCCAGAGTTCACTATCTCGTAGCCTTGAATAAACAAAAAACTGATAGGAACAACACAATACAGTGTAGAAAAACTGAAGTAGATAGACTTTATGAACGCACAAAAGGAGACACAATTCAGAAATGTAAACTGACAAAAGAAAGTCAAGTGTTTCTTAAAGAAGATAAATTCCTTTTTTTTTTTTTTGGAGAGCTGTGTCTTGCTATGTTTCCCAAGCTGGTCTCGAACTTCTAGCTTCAAGTGATCCTACTGCTTCAGCCTCCCAAAGTGCTGGGATTACAAGCATGAGCCACCATGCCCGGTCAGACAATTTTCATTTGTGAATTTCACTGTATTTTACTCTATCAAAAATGATATTAAATAATAAGTATATCTTTAAAATCTTATAATTATCTAAAACATCCTGCAAATATCTGGTCTGATTATGTACCTACCTAACATATAAAAAAATAGCTGGCACATCATTTTGGAACTGCGTAATTTAGAAAGTAATTTGTGCATTTCTTTCTTTCTTTTTGTGAGTTGAGGGTCTCACTCTGTTGCCCAAGTTGGAATGCAGTGGTACAATCATGGCTCACGCAACCTGGAACGTCTAGACTCAAGTGATTCTCCTGCCTCAATCTCCCAAGTGGTTGAGATCCAGGCACGTGGCACAGATACAGGCACGTGACACCATGCTGGGCTAATTTTTTTATTTTTTTGTAGAGAGGAGCTGTTGCTATGTTGCCCAGGTTGTTCTTGAAGACCTGGGATCAAGCAATCCTCGTACCTCAGTCTCCCAATGTGCTGGAATTACAGGTGTGAGTCACTGTGCCCAGCCTGCTTTTTTTTTTTTTTTTTTTTTTTTTAATGAAAGCAATGAAGAAGAGTAGAAGGGAGCAAGAAGTCATCTCAGAATGATCAAGGAAGAATCTGAGATTTTGGAGAAATTATGAGGACACTGGGCCACAAATGGGGTTCCTCGATGTTGCCTTCTGAACTATCTGGAGCAAATTTTCCACACAAGCTTACAAGCCCATCCAGGAAGTAGACCGTTCCTAACTTATGCAAAGAAAACAGACATTGAGACAAAGAAAGGCAGCTGAATGTGAGAATGTGTTCTAAATTCAAACAATATTGTTATAAGCAACGACTCATCACTTAAAATATTCATGTAAGAAGAGAGAAAAGCAGATGTGATCTAAAATGAAATATCTCAAAAAAACTTTGAATAATTTTGTAATTTATAACCTCCTCTTAATGTCAACTTTCTTGGAGAGGTAATTTTTAACATGACCCAAATATTGTTGATAGTATTTGCTATTAAAGTAATATTGAAGACATACGATAAATAGCATGTCATAATCAAATCATATTTTTTTAGGTCACTATATGTTTTATTTTAGTAGAAAAGATGCTTTTGAGTAAAATGCTATTAGAGAAAGTTTAAGTTGTTGGGAAGGAACAGAATATTTGAATTTAGAAAATCAAGGATTAAGAATCAAAAGAACAGGAAAATATAAATAAAAAATTTCTTATCAGTTATTATCTTTAAAGGGAGTACAATGAGGGCTGGACAATGAGGGGACTTATGAGTTTTACTCTGTTCGCTTCTGAATTTATTTGAATCTTTTGCAACAAAGATTCATTTTTGTAATGTCACATATTATAAAAACCAATAAGTGAAAGTTTAAAAAAGAAAACCTATGAAGTGAACAAGCATATAAGATATTAAAAGACCAAAAAGAAAAAAAGGCATTGGAAACAATTTCTAAGATTTGAGAAACAAAATTAATTAAAAACAACAATAACAGTTATTAGAACCATATGTGCTCTCTCAAGCAAGCAGGCCAGACACAGTGAGTTGAACTTCAGAACGGGAGTGACCCCTAATGGTAAAGATGGGTACATTTCAAATTTGTGTCCCTGTTGTGAAACCTAATTGAGAAGGTTGCCTGATAAAATTCTCCTTTGTTTTCAGAATGAAATAGCGACAGTGATGCCTTCAGGGAACAGAGAACTCCGAACTCCTGCCCTACAGCCTGAGGAGGCCCAGGAGGAGGAGGAGGAAGAGGAGTCCACCCCCAGGCTGATCGATGGCTCCTCACCACAGGAGCCCGAATTCACAGGGGTTCTGGGCCCACACACCAATGAAGGTCAGGTACATCAAAGCTGAATTGTTACTGAGTCCACTTTGCCATCTCTCAAAACTGCCGAGCTCCAATCCCACGGGAAACCCACATGACCCAACAAGAGAGCTTTGGAATAAGCTAGATTTGAAGTGGGGGTTATACATGTACTTTGCATTCAAATATCAAGCAGCTTTGGCTAATGGAAACAATCAAATAACCAAGGATTTAGGATGAGAATATCAGCTATCATTACTCAAAAGCTTGTGATAGAATGCATCTAACAAAGGGTTTTCAATTGGCAGGACAAAATCTTTGCCTCTTAGATAGGACCACAGATTTAGAAAGTGATAAGATGATAAGGGACAATGATGATGGTGGTGATGATGGTAATAGTAACAAAACTGTTTTACACTGATTGAATATGTACTTCTGTGAGCCACATACCACTGCATGCCATCGCATTTGACTATTACAACCTCCCTGTGAGGGTGTAAGTATTATTCATCTTTATCACTGAGAAAGCTATAATTCAAAGAGGGTAGTAATAGCCATGGATCACACGAGTATTTGTACACTAGGTTTGTATATTTATCGGACAACAGGCTTCTTCTCCTCATTCAATCCTAGAAAGCAACAGAGAAAGGAAAGGAGAAATATGTTGGACACCTAGATCATTGAACACCCTCTTGCAAGGCATGGAGGTAAACTCAACCAAAGCATCTTAGTTAATGAGAAGGAATTCCTCGTTCACCTAGCCGCTAAATGTGATTCTATTTTGTCTATATTTCTTGTTAGAATTGTCAAGAAGACTCACGCTTGCATACTTTTATATACACAGAACAGCATAGTTAGGGAGTGTAGAAAAATGAGGAGGTTCTCCACTGCAAAGGTTGAGTGTTGGGTGTCTCTGTATTCCAAGTTCTATAAATACAAAGCTTGGTTTTCAATGACCAGTGTTTTCATGTATATTGCTGTCTAGTGCAAGGAGATGGACATATAAACACATTTAGAGATAATACAGTGCAAGGAGATGGACATATAAACACATTTAGAGATAATATCATATTACAGATATTATAAGAAAGCCTGTGAAGAACAGATTGGGAGACTAAGAGAGAGGGAAGAGCAATACAACATAAGAAAAGACTAAGTGTAAAGAACAGGAATCAAAATCGAGAGTCTTAGAGAGGTAGAACAGCCAAACATATGTGTTCAGATCCCAGTCATTAGGTGTACGATCTTGAACGAGGCATTTGATATTCGTGTCCCTTAATTTCCCCATTTATAAAATAGTAATAGAACTTACCTAATGGAGTTGTTGCCAGAATTAAATGAATGAATATAGTGTCTGGTCCACAGTAAGTATAATCAATCTTAGTTATTAACAAGAGTCTAATAAAATAGAAGAGTTGGCCGGATTCAGTGGCTCAGCCTGTAATCCCAGCACTTTGAGAAATTGAAGCGAGTGGATTACCTGAGCCCGTGGGTTCAGATCAGCCCAGGCAACATGGCAAGACCTCGTCTCTACAATAAATCAAAAATTAGCTAGGCATGGTAGTATGCGCCCGTGGTACTGGCTACTTGAAAGGATGAGGGCAGAGGGATCATTGGAGGCAGAAAGATCGTTGGAGCCCAGCAGGTCAGCGCTGGGGTGAGCATGCCACTGCACTCTAGCCTGGGCAACAGAGTGAGACCCCAACTCAAAATACATAAATAAATAAATAATAGAAGAGTTTATTCATTTTTTCCCTGTTACATTTTTAATGTACAATACAGTATTGTTAACTACAGGCACTACATTGTATAGCAGCTCTCTAGAACGTATTCATCCTGCATAACTGAAACATTATATTCGTTGAACAATACCACCCCATTTCCCCTTCCCCTCAGCCCTTGGTAACCACCAATCTATTCTTTGTTTTATGAGTTTTTAATGACTCCCCAATAAGTAATACAAGAAGTTGCCTTTCATCAAATGCTTCTTATATGCCCAGCACTTTGATACAAGATTTGTACATTAACTCATTGAAGACTCACAACAACACTATGTACTACGTGCAGTTTTCCCCAATTTATAAATTAGAAATCTGCAAGACCAGCATACTACAAAATTTTTCTAAGCTCCTGAAGGTGGTACATAGAATGCAAATCCAGACCCCTAAGTCCTAAATTAGTGTCATTGACCAATACATCAAATTTTTTCTACACAGTTAAATTTCCAAATGGTAGAACATGCTACAAATAGAGCTAGAAAGATACACAATGAGGAGAAAATGTAAATACCCAGCAGCAAATTAAATATTCCTAGTTCATTAGTTACTTTGATGTAATTTTAGATCCTTTAAAAGTTGACCCACTCAGTTCAGTTTTCCAACTGAACCAGAAGCAAAAGAGAGACATAATGTCCAATCTTTTTATAAGCTTGAGTTAAGTTATGACTTAATAATGTCAGTTTTAAAACAATTTTTTTTAAATCCAAGACTTTTATAAAATAATTTGTCTCTAAATACTCTGAGGATAAATAATGACATTAAAATTCTAATTCACTTCTAATTTTCAGAGAAGCATAAATTCATCAGAGTTAAATAGTTTGAAAATATTTAGAACATTAAAATCAAAATACCATATTTTTACTATTAAAACACATTTCTAAAAGTAATATTCAAAAGTCATAATTTAGGTTTCAGCTGTGAATAGAAAAGCTCAAATTAAATTACAACCAACGTGAATATATATAAATTACCCTAAGCAATCATTGCTAAATTAACAAGGCCATGAATATATATGAAGAATCAAATGCCTCACCTTTTAAAATTTTTATGATGAGTAGAAAAAATTAATTTATAATGATTGAAGAAATTAACATGTATTAAATATTTTACAGCTCCCACTTAAACATATATTTTTCTGGTTTTTCCTTTTTTTTTTTTTGAGTCGGAGTCTCACTCTGTCACCCAGACTGGAGTGCAGTGGCCGCCTCTGGCCACTGCAGCCTCGAGCCGCTGGGCTCTGGTGATCCTTCCACCTCAGCCTTCCAAGTAGCCGGAATTACAGGCGCGCACTACCACACCCGGCTGATTTTTTGATTTATTGTAGAGATGAGGTCTCGCTGCCCAGGCGGGTCTTGAACCCGTGGGCTCAGGCAATTCACTCACCTCAGCCTCCCAAAGGCGCGGGATTACAGGCTGAGCCACGGAGCCCGGCTTAGTGGTTTTTCCTTCTTAAAGTGATTTTTGTTTCTGAAATTTTATTGTCAATGATTTTTCTATCTCCTAAGAGCAATAAGACCTGTAAAGGTGATTAGTTCTTGATCATAAACCACAAATGAACCCTTCAACAAGGGTGATCAAATGTCCCAGTATGGGTATGAGAGTTCCCCCATAAATTGTCTTTCAATGCTAAAAACAGGAAAGTCTCAGGTAAACAAAGATGAATTGATCACTGTACGATCCCAAGACATTTCCTCCAGCACTTTCTTCCAGCTTCTGTCATGGTTATTTCACTCCCTCCACTCATGGCATATCTCACAACCCTTCTCTAACTACTCCCTAGACTCCTCAAGCTCACCAGGAAACCTAGGTCCTGCTTCACAGAGAAAATGCAGTTTTCCAGTCAGCAGCTCCTTGGTCTTTCTGTTTCCAGACATAATCTACCTACGTCCATGTCAATGCGCTCTAGCTCTGTCTCCTCCTAATGCCAAAGAGACCCTGACTCTCCTTCCACACATGGGATGGAAAATCTTCCCACTGTGCATTGGGAAGATTCTATTTCCTACTGCCCACCCACGATCCCTTTTATATTCAGCCTCTCCTTCCCCGAATTCTTGCTTTCAAATTCTTCCCACTTTAATCACATCTTCTCATAATTCAAGCCACAAATACATCCTCTTACAGTTATCACTACCTCTCATTCCTAGTTCTTCACCAACATCTCAAAAGCTATTTCTTCATTTGTGATAAATTTCCCCTTACCTCCAACATCTCTCTCCACTGACAGTTACCTGGCTTCTTGTAAAGTCTTCAAAAATGAATCCAAGAACATTATTCAGTTTTTAACTTGCCTCAGGAGCATTAGACTGTTATTTTCTTTCCCAAAACTCACTTGGCCTCCATAATATCGCCCTATCCTGTTTCTCCTCCTCTGCTCTGGTCCTTGATTCTCTATATTCTTTAGAAGCTCACTGTCCTCTACATGACCACACTAAATAGGAAATGAAGGAGGGCAGGTGTGTGTGTGTGTGTGTGTGTGTGTGTGTGTGTGTGTGTGTGTGTGTAAGAGAGAGAGAGCTAGCTAACTAGGAAGTAAAGGAGAGTAGGTGTGTGTGTGGGTGAGAGAGAGAGAGAGAGAGAGAGAGAGAGTGTCTATGTGAGAGAGAGAGAGAGAGAGAGAGAGAGAGAGAAATAGATCAATGTTGATATAAGAACCTGCCTCACAAACTTATTCAGCTCTGCTGCCTTCTCTACCACCATTACCCAAGCCAAGCTACCATCTTCCATCTAGACTATGACTCCTCTCCATTCTTTCCACTTGCCTTCCTTCACTCTTTCACTACACCTTCGAGCAATCTCTTAACATGAAAACTGGAACTTGCAATATCTCTGCCCATCCTTAGGAGAAGGACTAAAACTCACAGCATACCTATGAGAACCCTGTATATTATGTCCCACATGTTCTAGTGTCTTGAGTTTAAGACACGTGGATTCTATTTCCGTTCTCCAAAGTGAAGGGATTTGACACATGCCACCTCCTCTACCTGGTACACTCTTCATTTCCCATCTGTGTAGTCAATTCCTTCTCTTCCTGCAGATCTCAGTCAACACCTCCTCAGAGATGCCTTCCATGACTCCCACTCTGGATCAAATCCCTGTATGTTGTGTTCATATGATACGCCATAACACTTAGTAGATTCCTAACTATATCTGTGAGATTAACATTCACCTCACACAGAAGATCATAAAGTAGAGCTATGTCTCTTTGTGCTTACCACTGTTTTACCAGCTGGTGTGGCACCATTTACATAAAAATGATTGATAAGATATATTGAACAAATGACTGTGAATTATTATTACCTTTTCTCTTGGAGCATATTTTGTTTCAGTGAGATTTTTATAAACACTGACTGAAATACTTTATGAAAATATTCTGTGTTATTTTAACTTTATGAAAGGCACAACCTTAATATGTACATTTTGATATTAGTTCTAAACAATATAAAATAAAAAAACATGCCAGCTACTCAGTAGTTTAAAATAAAGTTTAAAGATATTACAAAGAACATACTGTTGGGCAGTAATTGATATATTTGATTTTAATATTCCAAATACCAAAAACATTATGAGAAAATATGAAATATTCCAGGATGGTTTTGTGAGATTCTAATCTTGTTTACCAAATAGTATTAATCACATTACTTCCTAGAACTTGTGTTTGTTACTCACATATAACTATTCACCTCTATTTTTTAGACTTTCCAACCTGCCTTCTATGTACTTGTATAAGCACCACCGTGTACTGTGATGACCATGAACTTGATGCTATTCCTCCATTGCCCAAGAACACTGCTTATTTTTATTCCCGTTTTAACAGAATTAAAAAGATCAACAAGAACGACTTTGCAAGCCTAAGTATGAATGTCAGCATTAATATTTTCTCTTCATTACAGACCTCCCTAGAAATTTAATGGTATAAAATGTTGGTACTGGGAATTAAACTCGAATGCCAAAATATGGCTTATAAGTCAAGTATTTTTTCTTATTTAAATATTTGAGGGTTTGCTTTAATAATAAGAAAAAAATAACAAGTAGTTAATGGCCATTATGAAACCATACAATTGTTGAGCTGTTTTTAACTAAATATAAATCAGAAATAATTAAACTTTATATGCTAGAACTTTGTATCATGTTATGACATCGAGAGTAAAGTGTCATTGTCATATATTTATGAGAAGTTGACTTTTTTGAATACACTTCCATTAAAAGCACAGTTGCTTTGTGATTGATGAAAGCAAGCCAAAATTCTGACTTTATAGTTGTTGCCAGCTTAGAAGAATTTTGGTACGTGTCTTCATAAAGTGTTTTAGTCATTTGAAGATTTCTTTTTAAGGCCTGTGCCTTTGACTATTCGAAAATACAATACTCTTTCATCACTGAGAAAAACATTTTAAAAAGTAAAATATAGAGGATGTTTATAAGGAATATGAAGAAAAGACCAATTATTTTAAATATAATGTGCCAACTTCTTTGCCAAAGTTACAATTTCTTATAAGTGCATAAATATAAATAGTATTTGGAGGGAGCTTTTTAAACAAAATAGCTAGAAACATTATTTTGTTAACTGGTCATTGCTAATTAAATTCATAAATATATTTGCTACATCTGGGAAAATTTATATTTATATTTATGTAAGCAAAACATAGTCAAACATCTTTAACTACTTCCTTTATATGTTTTTTTCTTCTAGATGATTTAAGAAGGATTGATCTGACATCGAATTTAATATCGGAGATTGATGAAGACTCATTCCGAAAGCTGCCTCAACTTCGAGAGCTCGTCCTGCGTGACAACAAAATAAGGCAGCTCCCAGAGCTGCCGACCACTTTGACATTTATTGATATTAGCAGCAATAGACTTGGAAGGAAAGGGATAAAGCAAGAAGCATTTAAAGTAAGTTTTAAGATTGGTATGAGGGTCTTTCATTTTCCCATTCCATTGGCTGTCAGTGACTAGGCTTTTTATTTCTAACAAGGGGACTTAATTAAATAAGAGTTTTCACTTCTTAAATAAGTTTCACAACTCTAATTATCACATTTTTTAGAATACTTTGTCCTGATACGTTCTGAAGGTGGCCAAGCACTAAGAACAGAGAGCAGAGCTGGAATAAGAGGTGTGTGGCCACCGGGAGCACCCATCTAAAGGGACACCTGAAAGTAGTGTCAGCCAGCAAGTCTCTATTTACCAAGCCCTCCACTCAGGAAGACAACTTTAGTGGCTGACAAGATAGCTACTTGAGCAGGGTGCAGGTGGTATCTTGAAGACATAAGGCTTATAAATGACCTTATAAAGAGAATGAGTTCAGTTAACCTTGGGGATTTTATTTTCTAAGTGAAGGAAGCAGGTTTGGGCCTAGAGGACATGCTTGGAACAACAGCAGAGAGTCTAAGAACAGGAAATAACCGACTTTCTTACCCACTCAACATTCAGGCTGTTCTTCCAAATACACGCTAAACAAATAATTCTAAAATGCTCTTTGAAAGGACACCACATTATTCTTAGGGCGGTACCAGGAGGTGGTGTGGCCTTGTTACTACTGACAATAGTGAACATCCTGTCTCTCTGCTAGACCTCCTGTGATACTACCAGTGGTGTCCAAGGGGGTTAGGGCACCTCATTATTACCTGACAATGGTTCAGTTTTAGTCAGCCCACTCAGTCACTGTTGGCATGGGTGGGTGGTGAGTCACAGCTTATTCTGGGGTGTTTGGCTAGAGTAGACTGGTTATTGTCTAAGTGTTTTTTGTTTTGCTAGGCTGCCCCTTTCCTGGTCTTTGTGCTAACAGGCTGTTGTTGGGGAGAAAATTCTCATTTCTCCATGTCTATAAAATAAATTATTGCTATGTTTCATCAGAATCCTCAAAATATCCCTTCAAAATGCCTTCTATGGAATGAAGCTGCCTTGCTTATATTGAGAAAGTTAGACTGAGCAAAACAAAGTTCTTCCTAGAGAGTGAGAAAAACATTTCATTGTCATGAAGTATTTTCTCAAAGACATTTTTTCCAAAACTCAGTTGAATTGTTTAGTAACATAGAAAACTAATATACCTCAACTTTAAAAAACAAGATTTGTACAGGTGTGTTATTTTACAAATATTTCCATGGAGAGGGAATGGAAAATACATTCATGGCATCACTAATTTTTATTGAGTTCCTACATTTGGAATGTTTACAGGACATGTATGATCTCCATCATCTGTACCTCACTGATAACAACCTGGACCACATCCCTTTGCCGCTTCCAGAAAACTTACGGGCCCTTCACCTCCAGGTAGGTGCCCACCAGTAAGGTGTGCCCAAAAGCTCCAAAGAAAATAAAGCCACACAGGAGGAAGTCTGTAATGGCCTTTTGACACATTGTGACAATTTTTATTCTTCTTTATATCTTACCTGTTATTTATTTTCTCTCTTGATCTGAGTACAAAATATTTGTACATTCATAGGCCTATCTACCCAAATTGATTTCTAATAACCTTAGTCTTTATTTTCATTCTTTTCCAAATTAAAAAAAATGAACCCTTTTGGTACACAAAGTTTCTTTTAAAAAAGAAAAAAAGAAAAGCTTCTCATGACAAAGAAAGACATAAGGATCAGAAGTGGAAGAGAAAAGGTAGAAAGAAAGATCTAATTTGAGTTCTAGTTTTCAGGGGGAAAACAAAGTCAATTTCATCCTTTGATTTTAGGTTTTATATACTGAATTAAACTTAATCCCAAATCATTCCTGTGTGCTGAAGGATGATGTCTCAACCTTTCTGAATAAAGAAAGTGTAGGGTCTTTTTTAACAAACATATTGAAAGTATGAGTTATTTTAAATTCCATTAAGCTATGTTTTATCCTGGAAGTAATGAGTGAAACACATTTTCAAAAATGTTATGATCCAGTAGTTTCTAAATACATTGATTTTTACCCCTGTGATTACAAATTTGTTCAATTAAAACAAACATTTTTGGTTGTTGAAGAAAGATAAATTATTTCTTATTTCAGTTGTAGTTTTTAGTCTACAGCTATAGTCTACTTTCTCGAATAATTTCATTTGTCATATAAAATAAATATGTAGAGAAAACATCCATTCTATACTCCAAAAACTGCATTATAGTTCAATATTACAATTTTTTAGTAGAAAAACTGCAAGCCACTACAAAAAGTGAATTTGCTATGTAAGAGCAGGGCGCATATTCCTGTGTTTTCCCTGTAGGTTCTGTAAATATTTACGTCTGTGTCTTTTCTTCTCTTCCTATTAATACTTATGTTTCCAGCTTTTTGGTGTGTTTTTGAACATATTGGTCTGACTCTTGGACACCTGCCTCGTTTATGAGACTTTCTGACGATGTTTACTTCCTTAATGTACGTTTCCTATCTAGTCCTCATTTTATTTCTAAATAGTTCTCTCCCTGTCTCCTTTTTGGGGGGATGTGAATTTCTATGCATATGAAGATTTATTTTATTGTTTATGACTGGAGTGAGGATTTTCAAGGGAATCCTCAAAGAAACTTTAGAATGTGTTTTCCAGTTATTATTACATTTTTATTACTATTGTTTGGATGAGCTTGATCCTACCAAGTAACCAGGTTTCTAATGTTATATTTTAACATAATGCGCTTGTATATACAATATAAGGGCTTTTTTTTTTTTTTAAGTAATTGGCTTTACATTCCCATTCTAAGTTTGACAAACATTCAGTGTACCTTTTAGAATATTTCTCTATCAATATCAGCTCACTAACATCCAGTATATATCAATTTTTAATTTGATTATCTGCAATGTATACGTATTTTAACAATTATAGTATATAAAGAAATCATTTTTGATTCATTTGAAAAATGTCTGTCAATATACAGTATAGCAATTAAAAAAGAAGACTCTGGCAAAAGTATATTTCTTAAGCTAAAACTCTAGTCCCACTATTATTTAATGTCTGAACCATCCTACATCTCAGTTTTCTCAGCTAGAATAAATGATAATTTACAGTACTGCATAGGTTTGTTGGGAAGATTAAGTGAGATAATCTTTATAGAGTGGGTAATACAGTTCTTGATACATGAGAAACACTTAAATGGGAAGCAAAATTTATTAATAATACATATTTATCACTTATCAAAGGGAAGAGTAGCACTAATAGGCATAAATCTATATTATTCCAAATTGAATTTTCATAATAAGAGGGTCAACACAGAAAGAAGATATAAAGATTGTAAGCATATATGAATATAACAACAGAGACCTAAAATGCATGAAACAAAAACTGTCATGAAAAGAGACATAGATAAGTCAATAATAACAATTGAGTGTAATGTTTTAGTTTCAAAAATTGATAGAACAACTTGCTATACAATCAATTAGTAAAAAGAATACTTAGATAATATTGAAAACCAATTTAACCTAACAGTTTTTATATATAAATAAATTCTTTATATGCTAACAGCCATCCATAGAATCCCCCACCCAACAACTGCAAAATACACATTTTCTCAGGAGCACAAGCAGCATTTTCCTGGATAGACCATATACTAGGTGACAAAACAAACATCACCTAGTTGAAAAAGACTTGAAATTACACAAAGTATGTTTTCCAATTCCAGTGGAGTTACATTAGAAATTAACAACACAGAAAATTTAAGAAATTCACAAATATGTGAATATTAAATAGCACTTTCCTTAATAACAAAAAAGTAAAATAAGAAATCTCAAGGAGATTAGAAAATAATCTGAGGAAAAAAACCCAAAATATATGAAAACTTATGGATTTTAGTCAAAGCAGCACTTAAGGGGAAATTTTCAGCTGTAAATGCCTGTATTTAAAAAGGAAATCTCGATTCTATAGCCTAGCCTTCCACTTTAAGACACTAGAAGAAGTAGAAGAAACACTAATCCAAAGCAAGTAGAAGGATGGAAATAATAAAAATTAAAGAAAAATTGAATTAAGCGGAAAAATAATAGAGAAATAAAAGCTAAAGTTTGTTCCTTTAAACTATCAACAAATCCATTTTTAGCTGGAATGACCTAAAAAAAAAAAGTCTTACTAAAATCAGGAATAAGAGAAGGAGCATTACTACCAACCTTACAGACATAGAAAAATAAAAGAATACCATGAACAACTGTACACCAGCAAATTAGATAAAGTAAATGGACAAATTTCTAGAAAAACACAAACTACAAAAATTGACTAAAAAGATAGATAAGGTGAATTGACCTATAACAGCAAAGATATGGACTTAACACTTTAAAATCTTCCAAATAAGATAATCCCAGTCCCTCTTGAATTTACTGATTAATTCTACTAAATGTTTGAAGAAGAATTAATAAAAACTCTTCACAAACCATTCCAAACAATAAAAATATGAGCCTGACACTACCCCAATAGCAAAACAAATAGATAAAGTATCTACCATTAAAAAAAAATACAGATCAATATGCCGAATACATATGGATGCAAATATTCTCAGTAAAACAAAACAAATGGAATCCACCAACATATAAAAATGATCACACACTATGACTAAGTAGGATTTACTGCAGAAATGTAAGACTAGTTTAACATTTAAAAAGAAACCAATGTAACTTTTAAAAATCCTGGCCTGGGCCCTGCTCACCTTCCTGATACTTGTTCTCTCACTCTTTCTCTTCACTTCAGTCACAATGACTTCAGTTTTGAAAGTTAAGGGAGCAACACTCTGTGCTAACTGCTCAGGACTTTGAACTTGAAGTTCTTGGAGCTGTCTAGGATGTTTTTCTCTTGGTTCTTTCCATTTCTTTGTCTTCTGGTTTCCATTCTCAGTTCAATTGCTACTTTTTAAGAGAATTTTTCTCAGTCCTCGTCATTTCTTCCTAATACTCAGCATTTTTAAAAATAACTTTTTTCTTTGAATTTGTTTTCTCACCTCTTTGTCTTATATAACCCTAACTGAAGTATAAGCTCTGTAAGGGCAAGAGCATGTCTGTTTTTTAATTGACTTATCCCCATTGCCAGGAAAGCGCTCAGTATATATGTTATGTAGTCTTGATTGAGGGAAATTATTATTTTTAAATAATTTTTAAAAGGGTGAAGCAACATGGACTGTGATGTCCATCAATACTAAGGATATGTTATACCTTGTCTTCTAATTTATTTTCATCTCTTGTAGAATAACAACATTCTGGAGATGCACGAAGATACATTCTGCAATGTTAAAAATTTGACCTACATTCGGAAGGCACTAGAGGATATTCGATTGGATGGCAACCCAATCAATCTCAGCAAAACTCCTCAAGCATACATGTGTCTACCTCGTTTGCCTGTTGGGAGCCTTGTCTAATTGCAAATAACGGTCAGCGTCTTGATGCCTACTATAACAAAGCAATTCTTACTGCTCTTTTCAAAACCAAAACTCAGCATGATACTTTCAAATTGTGTTCTGAGGAATGACATTACATAAAATACAACAAAAAGTGTTACAGTATAATGGAAATTTAGCAATTTAAGGAAACACCAAATGAGGTAGGAATCAATCTACAAGATGTACAGAAAAAACAAAACTAAGTGAGAGAAAATATTTCAAAGATATTCTTATAAATCACATGTAACATGCAAGTTTTAGGGGTTCATATCTTATATGATTTCAAATTAAGTATATAATAAATAATAACTCATAAATGAACACTTTAGTTATTTTGGCAAGATTTAGATGTTTTTAATTGAACTTTTCTATTCTTTTTTTTTAATTAAAGCATGTTCTCCCCTAATTCATTAAAGAGCATGGAGAAAAAAATAAACATATTTGAAAATTTTAACGGCTTTGTGGGAAAATATTCATTATAATCACATTATGCAAATAACCAGCAATAATACACGCAACCTGCAGTTTTTGAATGACAATATTTTATCATCTTAAAGACAACTCATTTTAGATCTTTGCTAAACCGATTAGCTACTTGGTTTATTTCTGTGCATGTGAAACAAATAAAATCTAGAAAATGGATAATAAACCAGCATGGTGGCTCACACCTGTAATCCCAGCACTTTGGGAGGCCGAGGCAAGTGGATTGCCTGGGCCCAGGAGGTTGAGGCTGGGCAAAATATTAAGACATCGTTTATAAAATAAAAAATAAAAAGAATTAGTCAGGCATGTCAGCTTGTGCCAGTACTGCCTATCTATACTACCTTGTGCCTGTACCACCCAGGAGGCTGAGGTGGAAGAATTGCCTGAGCCCAGCAGCTTGAGGATGTGGTAGCCATGAGCATGCCACTGCATTCTAGACTATGACTCAAAAAGGAAAAAGAAACGAGACAAATAAAAAGAGAAAAATGGAAAATATAGAAGATAATGTGATAACCACATTAGTGAAGATGTTAAGAAATACCTTTTTCAGAAGGATTGATCTTTTTAAATCATAATATAGGCACATGGTTACAAACTGAAAGCCCACAAAAGGGTATCCCATGAAAGGTGAGCTGCGTTCCAGCTGCAGCAACTTAAGTTCGGCTCCCTAAAAGTAATGTGCTTTTTTTGCATACCTTTATGAAGTTTTCCATGAGAAACAAAAACTTGCACACAAGTAACTTTGCCTTTTTTACATATATATGTGCTACAAGTGTAAACAAAAAAAATTATGCATTTTTAAGTACAAAAGTTAATCACTATTTTGAGCCTTGCTTGTCTGATTTTAAAAGTATTTCTTGGTGTCCTTTTCATATGGGCATATTCAGTTCTCCTGATTTGGAAAACCACATATCAGTCGGTGATGAATGCACAATTTTTAACAGTAAAACTAAAAAGAATATTCTTATTTGAATACAAATAAGTTTATGTGAGAGTACTTCAAAGATACTCACTTACACTTTCATCAACAGTGTAGGAGAGCACACAACCTCTTTCAGTTTGAATAAATCTAGAGATGAATTAATAAATTTTAAAAAATAAGGCCAGGCACAGTGGCTCACACCTGTAATCCCAGCACTTTGGGAGGCTGAGATGAGAGAATCACTTGAGCCCAGGAATTCAAGACAATCCTGGGCAACAGAGTGAGACCTTATCTCTAAAACAAACAAACAAACTAATTAATTAATTAATTAGCCAGGCATAGTGTCACACGCCTGTAGTCCCAGCTACTCAAGAGGATGAAGTGGGAGGATCCTCTGGGTCAGAAGGTGAAGACTGTACTCCAGCCTGGGTAACAGAAGGAAACCCCAACTCAAAAAAATAAATAAATAAAACCTAAAAAACCAGAGAGACAATTAATTAGCAATGTACCATCTCCAACAATTAATTCATTCAATCAAATATATTTCTGTCTAAATGATCTGATTTTTTTCCTAATTGTTCTACATCATTCCTTATATATCATTATTCAAGTATTCTAGATAAATTCAACATTTCTAAAATGTAACAACTGGAGAGCAATGCTCTAATGTGTTTCCATATTAGATGCACAAACATTATCAATTTAAAGGTATAAACACGAATATGTCTTTAATAATAAAAATGTATATGTTAATTTTTTTGAACCTATGAAGGAAAACTAATCATGCATGTAATGAGAAATTTGTATACCTCAAAAATTGAAAATCTTAAAATAGAATAGCCACCTAAGCATCAAGTGCCACAAACCAGTGACATTTAAAAATTGATTGTAAAGGTTATTGTTTTGACTACTTATGTATACTCCCTCTTAACAACATGATTATGAACCAGACTAAAAGTCAAATTTTATTCCAATGTGGTATATCTATTTTAGATTTAGATTGTGGCCTGACAAAAATTACCCCAAAATTAGTGGCTTAAACGACACCCATTTAATGTTTCAGTTTTTTTAGATCACTAGTTACATACAACTTACCGGGAATCATTACTTAAGATTTCACAAGCCATAAAGAAGGACAAACATAGGGATTTCGCAGCAACTTGGATGGATTTAGAGTCGATCATACTCAGTGATCTATCACAGAAACAAAGAACAGAGTACCATATGTCCTCACTGATAAGCAGACCTTGAACAATTATCATAATACTATAAGAAAGGGATTAGCAGTGGTGGGAAAACTGTCAGGTGAGGGGGGTTGGGATTGGCAGTTGAGGGAAACTGCTAGGGGAGGGAGGGGGCAATACTTCATCAACAAGGGTACCTGCATAATCGTTTGTATACCTAACTCTGAATTGTACCCAACATCTTTATAATAAATAAATATGTAAATAAATAAATAACAAACAAACAAGATTTCATAAGTCTGAAACCCAAGGATTACTGGTTAGGCTCTTATCTGAAAGATATGAAAAATAATCCATTTCCAATTTATTGTTGCTTGTGATGGTAGTACTGGGGTCCCCAATTCCTGGCTGTCAGTCAGGGGTTCCCCAAATCTTCTGGAGGAAACCTACATTCCCCATTACAAGACTCCTTCCATCTTCGGAGCAAGCAATGATATGTCAAATCTTACTTGTGCTTTTAATCTTTGATTTTCTCTTCTGAGAAAATTCTATGCTTCCAATGCAGGCATTTGATAGGGTCAGGCTCACCTGATTAAACTATATATTTTAAGGTCAACTGATTTTGGACTTTAATTGGATCTGCAAAATTTTGTTAACAATAGTACATAGAGGAAGGTTTTTTTGTTTGTTTGTTTTTTTGAGTTGAGTTGGAGTCTCACTCTGTCGCCCAGACTGGAGTGCAGTGGCTGCTCCCGGCCACCGCAGCCTCGCCCGCTGGGCTCCGGCGATCCTTCCGCCTCAGCCTTCCAAGTAGCCGGAATTACAGGCATGCGCTACCACGCCCGGCTGATGTTTTGATTTATTGTAGAGATGAGGTCTCGCTGCCCAGGCGGGTCTCGAACCCGCGGGCTCAGGCAATCCACTCACCTCAGCCTCCCAAAGGCACGGGATTACAGGCTGAGCCACCGAGCCCGGCTGAGGAAGGTTTTAATAACCAGAGGACAGGTATCTTGGAGTGCCATCTTTAACATTCTACCTACCACAATTTCCATATCCTAGTAGTATAAGCAAATGATGATTTGCCATAGATGATCACATTCCTTTTCTACTTTTAAATCTTCTTAGAAACGCATAAAAAATAGTGATGGCAGCAGGGGAAATAATAAGAAAAAATTTAATAAGACCATTTTACTATTATATTCCTTAAATGAAACACTCTTTCTTCATATCTCCATGTATATTGAGAAACACAGTCACTGACTTTTCTAGTTCTGTTTTGCAAATGAGGCAGCCAAATGGATGATTTGGTTTTGATTCATTTGCTACAGTATAAGAAAAAGAATTGCAAAGGTCCTTCAAAAAATTCAGTTTTTAAACATATAGACATATTTTTAGCCCAAATTATCTTCTAGCTTTACTTTTATGTGCACTTGTGGGAAGGAAATTAATATTTGAGAAAGAGAACTCACCTGCTATATCTTATGTATACATTTCAGTGACGTTAAATGATTGGTTAACACTCTCAGCGAACAAATTGGTAGCTCCCAGAATGTCCATAGAGTTATTATCACAACTTTGCACAATGTTAGGTTATGTAAAAATCATAAGAACTACACCACATTGTTGCTATAAAATAGAAGACGGTAAAATACAAGAGACTATAAGAGAGTATGCTTCAGTGGAGACTGTCAGAAAAGAAAATTATTTTTAGCCTAGAGTTTAACTTTGAAGCATGTTAAATGTTGTTTTAAAGTTAGTCTTTATAACTGGAGAACATTATCCTAAGTGAACTAACACTGGAATGGAAAATCAAACACCGCATGTTTTCACTGATAATTGGAAGCTAAGCTAAAGGTCTACAAAGGCATGGAGAATGGTGTAATGGATGTTGCAACTTAGAGGGAGGAGGAAGGGGTAGTGGGGCAAAAAATCACCCATGTGCACAGATGGGGTTGTGGGTATACTTAAAGCCCCGACTTCTTTACCACTATACAATGTATCCACATAACTAAAAAGTATTTGTACTTTCTAAAGCAACAGAAATAAAAAAAAACAATAATAATATTAAAAATAAAGTCCACATATACACACACTGTTAGAATAGCAATCAAATACTGTATACAATTATGTGGCAGGCATCTACTGAGGATATCTTAGTTCACAGCATCATAGGAGGTGGGGTGAAAAACCATACCAAGTCACAAATCAGAGGTGAGAGCATAAATAACTTTCCCTGGGTCAGTGGTTGAGTCCTCAACCCTACGCTGTTTCACTCAATTGTTGTGCTTCAAATGCCATAGACATGACTTTTTCCTGTCTTGTCACAAGAGAATAGTGAACAGAGTGCGCAGAGACGCAGTAGTCAATACTGCCTTTTTGTATATGACAGTGACTTCCAATGGACCAAGAGCCTTCTTTCAAGTCACTGTGGAGGAACCATTTCTGAGGCCGGAGTCATCCTCCAGATACCTGGCCTCTGGAAACTCAGTAGATAGATGGACTGAGGTCCATAGAGCATGAGGGTGAGAGATTCCCAGCAGGCAGGGCTGACCTAGCCAGCAGGTGGAGTGGCACAGTGCCCGGGCCCACAGAAATATTAGGGACCCAGAAAATGTTTAAATTCTTTTAAAATAAGGAGAGAACTGGCAATAATAACAATAAATATGCAACAATCAATCTAACCTGAATTATATCCTTCTTTATAGCAATAGCCATAGAATATAATCGATGGTATGTATGTATGTATGTAGCAAAGCGCCCATGAAAGTCATAATGAGGCCCTGCCTACAAGAATATTATCGGTGATGTCAGATGGTAAAGAATCTATTTCTGTCCTCACAGCCTGAAATAGTTACTCTTCG